GCGGATAGAAGGATTAGGTAAATTGAAAAATCCAATGACCTCACCGAGATCTGAGCCCGCGACCTTCCGTCTTGTAGTATAGTGTCTCAACCACTACGCTAATAATTCATAACTCAGAGAAATAAAAATGACTCCAGTAGGATTCGATCAGATGACCATCTGGGCCCTCTAACCCATGAGTTAAACTGATTCCCACTGTTGTGTTAGTGACAATGCAAAAGTCTGAGAAATGGGAAGACAGACTTTATGAGCAAGTCACGCGGACGGCCGTATGCCTAACCGCCGCCAAGTTTAATCCACTTATACTTTCTGAGCCGAGCTTCTCGGTCTTACCTTGCGATCATTTATTTTCGCGACTTTGTAAGACTTCCGCGTGCTGCCTATACACGTGAATAATTTTGAATGTCACGTCTGCGAGAGCTTCGAAAAACTGCCAACAACGTGCAGAACCCCGTTTGTCTGGCGTCTCGGCGGGACACAAACACATCACAGATGTATCGACGGGGGACATTCAGGGGGTTTACGACAGTGCAAATATCGAATGATATAAAACATGGACGATGAATCTGGAAAGGTTTTGCGAAGGAAGCGCCTTCCGAAATAATAGTCTAATTGGTGAGAAGCTGAAAATAGACTGACTTCTTGGAGCTGAGCCCTTCTTGAGAGCTGCCAGTTGTGCAGTTACCCAAGAACTTCCCGGCATTTTATGGAAACCTAAGATTCATTGCTGTGTTCACAAGAGCCCTCCACTCGTCCCTATCCTGAGCCAGATCAATCCAGTCCATACCACCCCATCATATGCTACATGCATTTCTCTTCCTCCCCATTCGTGCTACATGTCCTGTCCATCTCATCCTCTTTCACTCGATAATTGTAATTTTACTTGGAAAAGTGCATACAAGCTATGAAGCTCCTCATTATGCAGTTTTCTCCAACCTCCCGTCTCTTCATCCCTCTTCGGTCCAGCACCCTCTTTCTAACCACACTGTCTACTTTCCTCCCTGACGAGCTGTAAATAGCTTCTTAAATTCGTTAATTTGTTACGTCAGCGATCCATCGGAAACGTCACTTAAGATGGAAGGTAAGAAATGAGTCTAGTTTATGTTAACCAAATTAGCGGACTAGACCAACGCAAATCCTGTTAATCGGTTATTCTTATCCCGAATGGGCTACAACAGCTAGTCAGCGGGAGTTAGCACCAGACTGGAGTCATAACTCTTAAAGGTACTCGGAAGTTGTCCCTGTCCTTAATCAAGCACCACGCCATGATGACATGTGGTAACGTCGGCACTAGATGGGACTCGGCAGCTTCGAGCTCCAGCCGCTTAATCCCTGGGGATATGGCCCCCGGTATTTATTCGTAAATCGCTGCCGCTTGAATGATTCGTAACATAATGATCATTTAATTCCTGTTAAATCTGTGCATGTTGGGCTTTTGAACCAAACGTACAGTGTGCATAGGGGAAACGGTGAACTGCGACCGGCCACCCGCATTCACGCAACAATTCCATGAACAGTTCCATCGTCACTGAACTAAAACATGGCGATCGAGCGTGCGGACTTGCACCCAAGGTCAGACTCAGCATGACGAAAGGCGTAGTGTTACACAATGTCTTGGCCAAGCCGTTAGGTCAGCATTACTGGCCTCATTTCCTTTGTGATAACGGAAGATTGGGAGACAGTCCAGCGGGGGGGGGGCATCTGCGTCTCCCCCCACATTTTTCGGAAGAATAAAGTTGATAAAGGAAATACACCAAATACGAATACCTACAAACTGTAACAATTCTGCTATCATGAACGCTATAGGGCGGGAGGGACTTTAAGCCGTGAGTCCCGTGTCGTAGATTTACGGCACGTAAAAGATCCTCAAGCCGGTCACGGTTGGCGAGCGGTCTAAGGCATGCACTGTCTTCGCTCGCTCGGAAGCCGGGATCGTGGGTTCGAATCCCACTCAGGGCATTGATGTTTGTGTGCGTTTTTCTGTGTTTGTGTACAGGTAGAGGCCTTGCGACGAGCTGATCACTCGCCCAAGGAGTCCTACCGTATGTGTAGATCTAGAAAAACCGAAGTGAACGGAGTTCGTGGAGGTAGGCCTAGGCCCACTGGGGCTGTAGGGCCAAGGGGGGGGGAAAGATCCTCATGTCTCTAGGAGACCTCTGAGCAAAATTAGGCAAGTTTCCCGCCCAAGTAGTTTCCAATGCCTCTGGTAATAACATAAACATCTCAGGTATAAGTTTCTAAGGAAATTTTCTGCTGCCATCCATTAGAGAAATAGATCCTACTGCACACATTTCTCTCTGGAGCCCACCCAACCTCCCATCCTGTGGACAGTGGGGCCTGTTTCCTCTGTACAAAAGCGCCTGGGGCAGATTCCAGTCTCATTAGTCAGATCGGCAATGAGTGTGAAGCAACTGCTATCTGTATCCCCTTCCTTTGTATTTACACAAAACATTAAACAGCCCCTGGTATCCACTGTACTGGCTGGACCCCAGATCTGGTCTGGATACCATGAAGAACAGAAAAATATTTGGCCACTGCCAGGAACTGAACCCTGTCGCTATGTTAAGCATGTAGAAATACTGGGGTTTTGAACTTTTTTCATCATCCGCAATTCTAGGTAACAGAGGACACAATGTTTCGGAAACTGGATCTGTTTCTGTCTTCAGGTGAGAAAGGAAGACACCTACTCAGTTGGGCTCCTTAGAAAGAGCTAATCTCAATCACTGGACAACTCCTGTCACATTTTTCCAGATAGAAACAGATCTAGTTTCTGAAACATCGTGTCTTCTATTACCTAGAATTCCGGACGATGGAAAAAGACCAAAACCCCAGTAATTCTGTGTCATCCGCCATCGTCAGAACCCTTTAGACTCTACTAAAGCATGTAGTTTATCTAGATACCAATTGATTTCCAACTACACAAGAAACACACTAACCAGTTACTGCTGTTTATGAAAATAATCACTGCAAATAAATCATATAAATACACATTGTGGGCAAACTGTAAACATCTGACTAGTTACCAGAACATGAAAGAAATCTACTACCAACAACTACCATACAAAGGAAATGCACCTGTCAGAAACTCTGCATTTTGCCCACAGAGTGTATTTATGTAGTTCTTTTTTATGATTCTTGGAACAAACATACTGAGAATATTACATACCCCTCACAGGTATATTAGCAACTTAATACAATTAATAATACTTGCAATTAACTCAAGAAATTTATGGCCCTTTCAGTCTTGCACTAAGCATAAATAAAAAATGCACACAAAATATTCTGTGGAAACCTCAGAGCAAACACAATTCTAAATAGGCTGAACCACGAAGAAACTACGGTAGCTATTACAATGCATCAGGCTGCGGACTACACAAGCCATCTACTCTGCACATTCTGACGAAAAGGCTGTCCCTTATATTTATGTGGAAAGTTATGTGAAGCATGTCCCCAGGCTTACTTAATACATATATTCACATATCTACAACATTCTTAAAAGTTGTCCCTGTTCTTAAATAGTTAAGCGCTATGCCAAGATGTATGGGGAGTGGATGTACAGAATAGAAATACCAGGCTCATTTTAAAATATGGTTAAATGCAAAATGGCTTTACCCACATCACTTTTGTGTGCAATCCAACAGTAATGCGAGAGACAGAATATCAACTGCAGAAGAGTATTAAAAAAAAAAAAGGGTAAAGGTATCCCTGTAACAGGCCACAGAGGCCCATTGGCTTGTGAGATGTTGAAGCTCCCACATTTTCTAGACAATCGGCTCGCAGATGGTGGTGAGGTTGTCAGCCTTATGTGCCAGCTGCCCTTTACCCCTCAGGAATATTCCTGGTACTCATTTCTGTTAGAGGCAGAGTTGACCCCAGGGCCATAGTGTGGCTGGAAGGATTAGATAAATTGAAAAATTCCAGCTCATCAGGATTCGATCCCGCGACCTTCCGGCTTGTAGCACAGTGCCCCCAACTGCAGAACAGTCAAACACGTAAATCTCGCAATCTACAATTGACCAAGCTCATGCACATTGCTTCCGAATTTTTAATTTTAATATAAAATTATTTTCAGTCAGGTGATTCTAATGGGAAGTGCAGAGCACTTTGGAACCACTCACAGATCCGTCAGGTTCCACAGAATACAGTTTGGTTATCAATGATGAACTATAAATACATAAAACTCTATTGTACAGAGGCTGAATTTTAACAATCAACATTATTATTATTATTTTCTGAACACTCTATCTATAAGGTGTGGCACATTCCATTTGCTGAAGTGATGTCGAGTGATATGACAGATACTTGCTGCATAAACAATACAGAACAAGCAGCTCCCTCTTTCAAGTATAATGGCACTAACATTACATAGACCAACTGCTGCAGTTTCTCAACTTTCATATGATTACACTGCGGTCATAAGGCTTCATGGAAAATATAACACAAAAATTCCATGCAACCAGCTTTAAATCTTCTACCATCCTTTTGATTTCTAATGTCATTTCAACCAGCTACAAATTAATCTGCATAAGAATTTTAAGGAAAAAATATACTAACATAGAAAAATATAAAACTCTTGCCACCATCTGTTGTTCCTGTATGTGAACTACTTGAAGAAATGTCAAAGAATGAAAGAAGCAGGAAGATGTAGCACTCAGCACATACAAAACACAAGCTGATGGCAAACTTGGAAGGTTTCATGGTGTAGAGCTTCCAACACAAGACCTCCACAGTCTGAATACTATAAAGCTGGAAGCCTTCTGACACAGCAAATAATTAACATTGCAGCAAATACGGTGACATGAAGTATCTCCATTCATGGCCATCAGGCAGTGTTTCACCTCACAAAATGTGCATAAGAGAAGTCTGCCTGAAACAACCAGGCTATACATGCAACAGATTTCATAATCTTGACAGGCATAACACTGACAGATGTGCCAATTACTACATAAGTTACAACAATATTTCAGTACTCAGTAAAAACAGCAAATATAATCACCTACCGTAGAGTGTCGCCAGTACTTGAGGATTTCAATTATGTCAGTGCTCGGTGCATAAAGAAGAAAGTCACGCCACTCATCAAAGCTAATGGCCAGACTTCCATCTTGATCCATTCTAAAAGAGAAAATATAGTACTCACATTACTATTTGAGAATCACACACTCAGACGCTCTGCACCAATTATAACAACGCACAGTATTGGAACCAACATTCATGAATCAGAACTGCAACCCATTTCTTATGAAAGATATGTTCTATTATCATTAATGGTAAAATCAAAAGTTATAAATAAGAAAACATATGATGAAGAAATCAAGATGATCTTTCAGTATCACAGAAACATGGGAGCTCGACACGAGGCTTACAACCTTGCTCTGTAAAAAATTGCTGTTGCAAAATTCAAAGAAGTGGAAACCAGATGAGCTAATTCCCAGGAATGGACAAATCTGGCACAATCTTTTAAGGGAGGCTATGGCTCAAAAAGAGATGTTTTACCAGTGATGATGATGATGATGATGATGATGATGATGATGAACTAGAAATAATGTGGAAGGAAGTTGTCACAGCCTAATCTGGGTACTATCCCACCACATGCCTGGAAGAACTGAGGAAAATCGCTAAAAATCTCAGACACCATATATTCAATACTGAATGCTTATTTCAAGGGATGAAATGTACTAAAACGCTGTAGATTGCAATTTCTTAAACGTGTGTGCACTTGTCAATCCAAAAATTCATTAATGCCCATCATCCTTACACTCACGCCCCATTTTAGACTGACACAGTTCGGTGGTGCTTCTCGACTTCACCGCGAATCGGCCGCGATACACTGCTGTAGAATCATGCACTTCTTTCCTTCCAGCTGCCAAACACTGAGACCCTGGCACAATGGAACCCACTTTAGGCCTCAGAAACTGGTTTCTTACTTCCAAAAGTACTCATTAAAACTGTTCTCATACAATACACTGTACAGGCCATGTTACCACAGCAACATTATATTAGAAGAACCCTGCCAGGCTTTTCCCAATGCTCCCATCTTCTGCCGTTCAAAATTAGAGACAGAAGAGTGAACTCAGCATTCCCCGTGACACGCAATATGTCACTACCACAGAGTGAGGGGCATACAAAGCCTGTGGACTCAAACCCGTGCACAGTGCACACAGTACCAAGTTAAACATTTCAATGCTGGATTCTAAAAGGTTCTGACAGTGGCATATAACACTCAGAATTACTGCATTTCCAGACTTTTACCATTGTCTGGTCTTCTAGAAAGTAGAAAACACATTTCAGAAACTGGATCTGTTCCCATCCTCAAGTGATGGGGGGGTTAAGACACCTACTCAGCAATTTGGATTAGCTCTTTCTAAAGGACCAAACTGAGTAGGTGTCCTCACCCCCCCACTTTGAGGATGGAAACAGATCCAGTTTCCAAAAGTCATGTTTTCTATTTTCTAAAACACTGGATGATGGAAACAGCCCCAAAACCCAGTAATACTGATTTCCATGGTGGTTTTCCCGCCACAATGAATATCTTTTGTCTTTGGCAGCTTTTTCTGGAACCCCTCCCTCATTTGAGAGTGTTGTCATGACCCCACCCCTGTCACAATCTCATTGACACAGAACCACTGCTGTACAGACTGCACTGTTATGCCCCACATGTTCTCACAATCGCAAGAGTTTCCTGCTGGAAGACGTAACTGAGAAATAACTTGGCCTGAACATGAAACACATGCATGCAATTGCAAACTCCCAGGATGAAGATCTTTTTGTCTTCACCATATTTTCCTGCAACACTCCATTTGGGAGAAACAGTGCTGTTCTCACAGTCCAAATGCCTTTCTTCCATAGGAAGTAACAGGAAATAAGATGTCTTGGATTCGATCCCCATGCATGTTTTCGAGCATCTAAAACCTCCCCAGAGAGGTCCTGTACTTTCATAGCAAATGTGGTTCAAACAGGTGTAATGATGCAGAAATGTATTTATAATATAATATAAAGAACAAATAGACACACACAGATGAGAGATTATGCTGGACACTGTTGTCTCAGGTATATTTGTTGTACACAACATTTCAGATATGGATCAACATAATATTAACATACACAGTTTGTCTGAGAAACTATTCTTAATATCAGTACTAAACAAAATCAATATTGGAAAAGTCTGTCTTCTGGGGTGTGGCGCCGTGTAGATATTGTGTGAACCGAGGGTTCGGAGGAATGTCAGTTCACACAAGATCTACATGGCACCATGCCCCACAAGACAGACTTCGTCATAGTCACCATTACGAAAAACTCAAATCTTATAAAATCAATATTAATATGGCATGTATAAATTCATGTTGCACAAGTCAGCAAAATATTCAAGGGTGGATAGTTCATAATCACGTAACAGGCAGCTTTGGGTCCAGCACATGCGCTTACTGCTGGGACTGTGAATTAATGATTTGCACTGTCTCTGCTATACTCAGATGATTAACAGAAATGGAAAGTGCTTCTGGCAATAACTCACATGGTAACCAAAACTATTGCAACATACTGACATTCAATATCAATCTGAAAATGACATAAACTCCGTCCCAAGTGCAAACAATATATTATATGTCCTTGATCTTGCTCTCCTTTACACTACATGTTTTGGCCTCAAACGGCCATCATCAGGTGTTTACACTCACGTTGCTGTTACACTGCAGTTTGTTTAAAATTTAACATTTAAAAACACATTGTTCCTTTCCTTGTTATTATCAACATCTATTTCGTTGATATCTGTCTGGGTTATAGATTATTTTACACGTGTTAATTTTGATTTTCCTGCAGTAGCACTATAAAATCTTTAGTTCTAATTTTAAAATCCTTTAAAATTTTTCTCTAAATTTAAAATTTAAAATTGTTAGGGTTACTCGCCCTATGTCTAAAGTGCTGCAGCGGCTAGTTCTTGTTTCCACACTCTATAGGTGTTATTCTGCGTAGTCTTCCTGTGTGCGTGCCGCTGCTATTCTTTACTACATGTAGTGTAGAGGAGAGCAAGATCAAGGACATATATAATATATTGTTTGCACTTGGGACGTAGTTTATGTCATTTATCGTGTAGAGTGCATCAGGATGCTTAAATATAATATTGTAATCAATCTGATGTGTTTCATTCACAGCATCATAATCATAATCTGGCACAGAACTTCCTGCAGAGTACACAAACTGAACTGCATCCTGTTAAGTGCAATCAAGTCTGGTCTCGCTCAACAAGATAATGCAAGGAAAGACACATTTACTTTCTATGGGTTTCCTCTTTACCTGTCATGTCTAATGAGTCGAGAAGCTAAAGGTCTGTCTATGCAGCATCTTAGTGAATCAGACTTGATTTGATTTAACTGGGCTCAATTTGAATAGAGAGACTGTATGAACTTTCTTTCTCAGTTTTAGAACATGTTTAAAATATGAAATAAAATTATTGTAATATGTCGACACATATTTTTAACACAATTTTATGACCAAACATGAGTGTCTCACAATTGCAACTGCTGCTACACTACCATGCATGTCTCAAGTAATTCTACAGATGTATGGATGGATGCATTACAGGCTACAATAATCCCAGTTACACATGCAACTGCTCACCTAAAACTGACACGTCTGTTCTCGGTATTTCATTTCTACACATCCGCATCGGATGAATGTGAACTCTGGCTCAAACTGTCTGCCAAGTAACAGACTCATGTGAATCTGATGATTAGAATAGAACAGAAAGAGATAAGAAATAAACAAAAAAAAATAATGTTATGAATGTGAAAAGATGAAAATTAAAACAACGCAAAGTAGAAGTTACAAGAAATGCAGACTTGATCCACACCAACTGGAAACAAACTTTGCAGAGAATAAAACGTATCCAACTACAGAAAATACCTTTGAAGTAGTTTTGTAGCTTCCTTTTTATCTACTTCTACACCAAGTTCTTTAAATGCTTTAATCAGTTCTTCAACATCAATCATACCTGAAACACAATAACACACAACTATAGTTCATGCATGATCACTACCACAGCAGTGCACAACTATACGCTCCTATGTACATACCAACAGCCATGACATGGTGTTATGCACATCAGCTACAGAACTGAAAATATTGCATTTCACCTGATGCTCTTTAAAAATCTGCTGAATGTTAACCAACATATTTCTGAAACACTCAGTTCTTAAAAAGTATATACTTGTAATAACTATACAGGACGAATGGGGGGAGAAGAGGAATGCATACAGGATATTGGTGGGAAAGCCAGTAGGAAAGAGACAACTGGGAAGACCAAGACGTAGGTAGGTGGACAATATTAAAAGGGATCTTAGAGAGATAGAATGGGATGGTTTGGACTGGACTGATCTGGCTCAGGAGAGGGACCATTCGAGGGCTCCTGTGAACACAGTAATGAACCTCTGGGTTCCATAAAATTCTGGGAAATTCTTGAGCAGTGGCACAACTGGCAGCTCCTCAAGAAAGGCTCAGCTCCATGAGTAAGTAACTGAGTAAGTAAGTAATAACTGTGCATGGTTTTCCTTTTCCAACAGAATTTTTATTATTACTGCATGCTATGGTTTGACAATGAAAATTTAAGCAGAGGTACAGGAGACGCTCATCACAGAAAATACTCCGTACACCACAACATTTTTGTGTAGTTATTATTACATTAATATTTTACTTACCATCTTTATTTTTATCTAAGTGCGAGAACTGTAACCTCAGATTCTTTTCATGCTCCTTTACATAGTGAATGAACTCGCCTATGCTAATGTCTCCACTTTTATTCTGATCAGAGTGTTCAATAAATTTCTGAAAAGAAAATTTTCAACTGTAATAATAAGGTTCTACCCAAAGATTCTCATATATTTCATGGCCTCATTTATGTGACATTAAGAATGTACAGTAAGAGACTGACAAAGGCAACACTTTATATCAACCTCCATACAGTAAATGCAAAAGAATGAGTGGTAGGAAATAAGTGCACATAGCAGAACAAAGGTAGCATTACAAATTAAAGTCATGCCATGAGTTGCCATTGCAAGTGGTTTTCCCACGTCTTTCAGGCTATTACCGCATGAATAAGCAGAGCTGTGACCTTGGCTGGGGAGTGTCCATGGGATATACGAACCATTCATCCAGAACGGAACTCATCAATTTGAAAATTTTTTAAATATCATACAAAAACATGGAGGCAGTCAAACTGAAGCACTAGTATTGTGTTACCCCATATACTGTTCAACATAGTTATAATGCTGAAAAAGAATTCAACAGAAGAAAAGGTATGTTACGCTGCTTCTTTGGGCGTGACCTTCATACAGCCACAGAGGAATCAGATCTAACTGAACACCACATCTTACTGTTCTCCTTCCATTCTCCACTGCCATTCACACAGTTTTCTTGTTACTGTATCCAATCACCTATTCATACATTTTCATAACACAGTTCGAGCTCAGACTAAGACTAAAAATGATTTTGATCAAGAAGTGTTACAATAAACAGGGATATTTTTTTTGGACACTGTTTTGTCTCAAGTATCTTCACTCCAGAGATTGACATTGTCCCTTATTGGGCCCAGCTTAGCAGGAAGCTTCCTTTCCTTACACCCAGTACGGGTAATGGGAACTGATCCAGTTTCTGAAACACTGCATTTGATAGGACTCAAGACAATTTACAATGTCCAAAATAATAATCAGAACTCAGTCATAGAGATTATGGCTATTAAGAAAAGTACAGGCACAGAACCCAAAGCCCACTAACAGGATGTCAGCACTTCTCAAGTTGTAAGGAATATACCATTTACTCACCAGCAATCTGGTTTCAAATTATGTCTCCAGGTGACAGATTGGAGACATGGTGCTCATCTGCTGATACACATCTACCAGACTACACGGTGTCATTTCCCAGAAAACCACAATCCAAATTATCTTGTCTATCCTTATAATTAACACAGCTGTGATTTGTGTGTTTCATCCCTTCTCCTCCAGCCCCCTAAATGGGCCTTCCCTGTTTCACTACAGTTTGACACCTGCCCAAAATTTCCTACATGAACTATCTCCAACCACTTCTAACCTGAAGGCAGAGGCAGTATGTTGCTCTGAAAAAATGGTAACTACCTACAAGGCTACTCAGCGTCAATACCAAGAAGACAGACAACCTACGTCTTCAACATGGGAAACTCAAACAGAAAATGAGGCATGTCTTTGCTTGATAAAACATAAATCTACTGCTAACAATTACATTATGTTCCATTTTCCTATTCTGATTTCGTTAACTGAATGATTCCCATAATGGATATAGGGTATATAACCTTCTGTTGTCCAGTGAAATCTTGCTGTTGCCATCTTGACTCGTGTTTGACATTGGACTGCAAAGGAGTAATGACCTACACAAAGGCAATACCTCTACTCAACTCAGAATTTATAATAATGACATAACATGATCAGTTAGAAGGAACTGGGAACATGCCCGTGTTTCAGCCACTGAACATGTTCCAATTCTTCAACCAACTGATACGCTTAAACTTACTACAAATAAACTTACTATGGTAAACTTCAAACAGAAAGATAAAATTATTTACATGACTTACAGAACAAAGAAGAACTCAACAATTTTAAGCATTATAATGTCTGTTGTTACAAATAAACATTACATAAAGTACCAAACCTCAATAACTTTAAAACCTTCTGGAAAGATGGATATATTAATACTCAAGCTTTTAATAAAAATGACAGAATAATATGCATAAGCTGTGCTGGTGGACACCACAATACTAATTCAAGCAAACCTCCACTTCTGACAACATATTATGAGAGGGAAGAGCAAGTCTTAGCCTTAGCAGAGCCTGAACACAGTAACTGCTTGACAAGCAGGGTGCAGTATGGGAACGTCACGCTGCTGACACCTGAACGTCCAACAGTAGCATGCTCAAGGCTTCATTAGTGCCACAAATGTCTGAAATGATGTCCCAGTTCATATTCCCTTATTGCTCTGTACTTTTTGTCTTTATTCAAACACATAATTATGTTCTGCCACTGATATTTTCAAAAACATTATGGATTCAGCTGAATCAATGTCTGGTCACATTCAACACACATAAGTGCAGAATTAGGGGGTGAGTCTTGTGTTGAGCCAAGATGGGAGGGGGGGAATGAATCACATAAGGGGGCTGGCCTATACTGACCATTGCACCCTGACCTTCAATGATATATCCTGTGAGAGGTACAGGAAGTGGCACATCGTTCCTAAAAATTTTCAGAATTTATTACAAGAATGATCCTATTACTAAGAGATATTGGCAGGTCCTTAAATAACGCCACTTCAGTCTTACCGGATGGAGCCTAAAATTCATCTAATGAATATTTAATATAACTTGAGTTCCTACCTCACAGGACAAAAAACTGCACCTCCATTACAAAGACAAACTGGTTGATGTCATCTATGGAAACAAATGCTGTTTGTTCTACGAATCATACTGGAACCCATTAAAAGACTTTGTGCGCTAAACGTAGAGACCTGAATGTAAAAATACAGTGGTACGACATAACCACTGTGCTTTGTGGAGGTAAAAAGAAATTATTTGTAGTGATGAGTTCACATCCGTGGAATGCATTTAACAAATGACGACTCACTGAATGAATTCTACTTTCCTTGGATCAGTACGTAACAGATTACAAATACAATATGGTTATTGTGTCTGAAAATGTGAAATGGAACTGATATATCACCACACAAGCGAAGCATCACTACGTCATACCTTGGCATAACTCTGATTAACTCCAAATTCTCTAAGGGCTACTGAAAGGTCATGTATATCTATTTTTCCGTTTCCATCCACGTCAAGAGACTTGAACAGATTTTCTAATCTCTCTTCATCTTCCTGGGGCAGTTCATGCAAATAGTGCGGTGGATGAACTACACTTGGATGGTCACTGTTTCCGTATTTCACCATATTTATTAAGTATTCACTCAAAACTCCATACCGTCTTTAGTTCATACCATCCACATTCCAAACACACTTTCACCGTGTTTCCTAGACAGCCTGCAATGCGTCAACAGTAGGGCAAGGACGGCATTGACAACCTGCCTTTCGCAACCTATTCCTGGGGCCACGGATCTGCGGCAATGAATACTGCAGAACCTGCTGAATGGTTATAGGTCAACACGGCCAACCTCACCCACAGTTTCCAACACAGATCAGCGAGATATCCTCGTGAACTCGTGAACATGAGGTTAGGAATCACACTCAACTTACTGAATTCTCTCCACTGTACACACTGCCATCTCTACACCGGACAATCAACTGGTTTCAATGCACCACAAAATGCGGGAATTTAAAAAGCAAAATACCTTCCACCACCACATTAACAGCATAAGGCGCATAAGGGGACCACAAACCAGGCATCAGACCCTTGCAATCTTGGCCTTAAACCTAACCCTGCAAGCGAACTTTTGGCTGTCTCTTCTCCCTCTGCAAAATGTCCAGAGTGTGCCCAAGATTGTGAAACATCCAAAATTATGTTCTGCATGAGAATCAATTCATTTACAGAAGCAGTTGATTCCTACAGCAACACAACCATTTCGCCTTTGCTAAAAGAAATCAAATCCATGTTGGATTTGAGGTTCTCACACTAACTGTCTTCTGGGATGTACTGCCATTGTAGTCCATAAATATAGTAACAACAAAAATTATCATGTTACCTGAACTCTTATAACAGAAGCAATGCTAGTACATGAACCACCTTTAAAAAGTCCCTCTTTGATTTTCTTAATTACCTTTCCCATAAAGAAAATAAGCCCTGCGGATCATGTTGAAGTGAGACTACACAGTGTGTCCAGGTTCTGTTAGGACTGTGTTCATTAAAAATATAAGATGTGAATTATTTTCAAAATTTCCTCTTTTTATTCAAAATAGTCTCCTTTTGAATCAATACATAGCTGGAATCGATTGAAAAGTTTTCAAAAACAGTCACTGTACTCCTTTTGTGTAATTTAATTTAAAACTGCGGTACATTCCCTTTGGATGTCCTGGATGGTGTCGTGACGGTCTCCTTTCATCGCCAACTTAACTTTTGGGAACAACCAGAAATCTGCTGGAGCCAAATCTGCCAAATACGGAGGATGATCAAGGACTGTGATCCCTTTTCTGGCCCAAATATCATGCATGATCTTCGATTTGTGGGGTGGGACATTGTCTTGGAGGAGCGACCAGGAACCTTGCTCTTGATATTCAGGACGAATTCGAAAAATTCTCGTTCACAAACGACTAAGGACTCCGAAATAATAATCAGAATTCACTGTTTGACCTTCTGGCAGAAATTCCTTGTGAATGATTCATTTGGAATCGAAGAAAACGGTTAGCAGTGTCTTTACTCGACTCTTTTTCATGCGCACTTTCTTTGGTTTTGGCTTCTTTGGGTTCAACCACACTTAACTCTGACGCTTTGTGAGAGGCTCATATTGAAAACACCATGCCTCGTCATCGGTAACAATCGATTTTGTAAATTTTGTATCACCTTGGGCCGCCCATAACATGTCTTTGCAGTGTTCCACTCTGGCATGTTTTTCATCACCTGACAGCGCGTTCAGTAGAAACCACACACAAGCCTTTCCGTCTGCCAAAATCCTCAGTCAAAATTTGATGCACAGTACTTTCTGGTATTCCCAAAAGCTCCTCAATGAGTCTTGCAGAAACACATCTGTCTGATACAAGGATTTCGGTCATGTTTTTCATATTTTCTTTAGTGACTCATTCTCGGCTTTGATGCACTTGGAGCGTCTTCAATGTCCTCCCTGCCGTCACGAAATACAACATACCATCGAAAAATGTTTGAGGGACTCAAACAATCATTACCATACACACTTTTCATCATTTCGTATGCTTCTCCAGCTGTTTTGCCTAACTTCAAACAAAATTTGATATTGACTCTCTGTTCAACCGGCATTTTCTGACGAGGGTCAGAACAGTACTGTTACAGCAATGCTTGCACTTTGAAATTATATATAGCCACAGCTGAAACTTCAAGAATCTTAATGCCACAACTCGCCAAAAGATGGCATTGCAGGGCAATATTTAAAAAAATGAGTCCTGGATCCTGGACACACCGTGTATGTCCCTATTTACTCAAGCCTTTTCATGGAGATTGAGCACAGTGAGTTTCAGTGTGCATTCCTTGCCTGTCATCAGCCAGGCAATTGCACAAAACTGGATATTTTGTGTTTAAATAAATCTCTCAAAAGTGAAAATTCCAAGCATAAAATGTCATAAGTAAAAGGGCTGATGTTATCCAAAAAAAAAATGTCTCAAGGCCCATGTAATATGGAGAGTAGAGTCCTGCTAGGGAAGGGTTCCAGGAATGTCTGACATGCAGACCACAGCTCTGACAGACAAGGGCTTTAAGGGTTGCCTGGAACAGAGACTATGGTGATGCAGACAGAGAAGAACTCTGAATTGTCTACAGCTGCTTAACTGCTATCTTATCACTTCCATGTGTTGCAAAAGTTTCAAGCCTTTTTTGATTCTTCTCAACAAAAAATATGAATCTTCAAGCCTCCTTGTGTTATATCTATGTTAAAATGTAAAATGCATCTTAAAGCATATTATAAATTTCACACCCCATCTTACTTCAATCCATGTTTTTTAAAGACTGGCTAATCATATCGTCTGCATGGTACATGTAAATATGGCAAGAACTATACATTTCGAAAATTATTCTTTTCTGGTGTTCATGATAAAAAGTCTAAGGTCACAATAGTGTTTATAATTATGAAAATTAGTCCAATAATGGATGGATGTATCAAATTTGTTCCCACATGATGAAAAAAAGTGTGGCCATACTGCCTTCATTTACCTTACAAAATTTCTCTTGCACTTCTCTAAAATACCAGTATCATATTGTATTTAAGTATCCTGTTGCATTACTATAACTTTTACACACAATATTAATAATACAGTTTCATCAACAATGCAACTATTTTTTTTTCCTTTTACATGTTTCTGTCCCAACTGGATATCATCAGACATCTTAATTTGCCAAAACTGTTATGTTGCACTGAATATCACTCATTCAGTTTATATGCAACTGCAATATTCCATGTTGTTGTAGTCACAACCTAACCTAACATTAGTTGAATTACCATATGCTGTAATTTACTATTAAAATTTATTTTTCTTTTCTTAAAATTCTGTAACATTCTTCTTTTACCTCACTAGGGCATAATCCAGTTGGGGCCGAAACATGTTGTAAAAGAGACAGAATAGGACAGCTGCACTGCTGATCGAACTGTATTATTAATATTGTGTACAAGTGCTGCCAGTATCACATTTCTGGCCACAAGAGCTTTAGCTTTCATTACACTTGGGTCCAAGTCAGCTGCCTGCTCCCCACACTACTTACATTGCACACTTCCACTGCCAATATCAGCAAGAAGAGATAAGGGAAAGACAGGGAACCTATAGATGGGCTGATCACAAGAACACAAGTAACAATTCAGAATGGAGGAAGGCAAGCTGCTAGACAGATGGGTGGGGGGAAATGTGTGTTCACTCTTTCCCTAACCTAACTATCATTATTAATGCCTAAGGCATGCATAAATATATCCGAAACCATCCCATTCTTAACTGTACATCTAAAATACGAGTACATATTTTAAGGTACCAGGAGTTAGCTCCAATTGAAATTTTGTTATCCACCTCTTTTTCATAATTTCTGCATTGACAGAAAGTTTTTAACAAATTAAGTCTTTCTAAATTAATATAAAATAATAACACAGCCTGTACCAGACTTGGGGTTCTCATGGCAGTGAATACTAAGACTGCTCTAAGACGACATGATGTGGTCTGATACACAGCCACCGACATTTTGGAGCAACTTACATCTCAGTTTTCATGGCAGATGTCCTTTCACCCTGAATATGGAAGAGTTACATTCGTCCTAAACATCAGTAACCATTTCCTAGACCAGGAATGTCCAACTTCAAACAGGTTGTGATCGACATTTTAGTGTCAAAACTGCCAGTGATCTACTACCCCCTCCTATCTTCATACCTCGCTTTAAGCAAAAATATTGGTAGAAATAACACGACGCATGATGTTTGTTCTAAAAGCAATATACACTGAAAGTACAGACTACTTTAATACGTACTTTCCCTTCAAAATCTGAATATAATCATATTATATTACAAGTGAATTTACATGCTTTTCACATATAATTTCCTTATAGGCCTATGAGATCGACCAAAAATTGTCCTGCGATCAACCGGTTGATCGCAATCGCCGCGTTGGACATGCCTGTCCTAGACCATATGGCATTACATCACAGAAGACAAGGGACTACTAATGAAATGACTGAAGCATTACAGAAAGGAATGAAGTATTATTTCAGTCATTATGACATGAAACACTACAAGATGTAATGAATTGGGACAGTGGCAATAAAATGTTGTAGACATGGCAAACTAATCTTTCCAGAAAACAGTGCCACCTACATGCAAATCTAAAAAGAAATTACTCTCATTCTGTGAGGTAGAAATTTGTAAAGAAAAGTGTAAAGAGCACAAAGTATGATAGGCTTGGGCCATCTTACAGTCCGACAACTGGTAACAGAAATAAACCATACAAGATTTGAGGTTCCCGCAGCAGTATTATGATTACAGTCTTTTATGATGTGAAGTCATGTAGTACAGTACACTGGTACCAATGTTTTGGAAGAACAGCACAGAAGAGCAGAGCAGAAAGTACACAATGTCACATCCTAGAAGATGTAATCACAAAAATGAATCAATTTATTCGAAGGAGAAACAATCACTGTACAACTGTACCAGACAGAATTGACCTTATGGACTTAATGTCTGTATAATGTGGAAGAGATTATGACATGATTGAAGTTCTATCTCTCAACTGTTACAGAAACATACATGCAAGTACTGGAAACATGGCACAATGTGGTTTTATAATACTGCATTGCCCAAGGATATGAACCGGTGCAATGAAACTTAAAACAGACGTGAAGTTTGAGGTTCTCATGGAGGGTAATATTAAGACTATGGGGTTTCTGGGAAGTGATACTGTGTAGTTTAGTAGCTAAGTACCAATATTCTGAAGGAACTTCCTGCCTCCATCTTCACGCTGAACATGGAAGCAGCAAAGCTCCTCTGAAATGTCACTTAGCTACCAACCTGTATGGAGCCACACCCCAGAAAACTGTAAACTTCAACAGAGGTTTCCAGCTTAGGAGGGGAACATCATGAATGGAAGGGAAAATGCAAGTTTCCTCATGAAATGAGCATGTGATGCAAATAGTTTTATATAACATATGGTTATTTATAACTTCCTAAATAACAAGCAACAATTTCCTGACAGCATGCCTAGTCACATTATGAACACTTCTCAACAGGATTACATCTGGTGTTCAATACTAGCTATGTCTATTTTAACAGATAACTGAGAACGCAAAGTAGGAACTGGAGGGAAAACCTATAAAGTTGGAAACCGCTGCTGGCAGACTATTTACACATTGAGATCTGAGTTTGGGTGAACTGTGTTGTTGTTGAGAGATGCCTGTTGTTGAAGATATGAAGCAAACATCTGTCTGGCCTGGTTCAGAACCCGTGTCACATTGTGCTTACGGATCATCTTGTCAAAATGCATGGCCATTTCATTGTAGTCCATGCCATTACTCATGACGACATCCCTGTGCTGTCGGAGCACTGTCAGACACAAGAACATGAGGAATGGATTACCACCTCCAAACTCAGATGGAGGGGGCAACTGACTGCTGGAACACTGCAGTGGCTGCCGGGTGCTCGAAACTCCAGGGACAGAACTTCTTAAAGTAAGTTCTGTCAGTTCCTCACATGAGTTGGTCACAGCAGATGGAACTGCATGTGACATTTCACGGTTCACTTTTTGCCTTGACTGCCCGGTATCGGAGTTGTATTTCTCAGATGAAACACTTCCCCTGTTGGACATAGTTTGAGAATTGCACGCATCTCCTTGACGATCATCCCAGCCATCTGAACTGTCACTTGCATCATCTCCTGGCAATGATGTTGCATTGTTAGTCTGATGCTGGTCTTGAACACCAACGCCACTTCGGAGCAGTCTAATAGGTGTCACAGACTTTATGCACTGCCCTTCATTTTCGAAGATCTCCCCACCACTAACAGCGACACTATGAGCGTCATCATATTCCAAGTCTGCCTGCTCATCTGGTGTTGCTGGACACTGCAATGGGTTCTCCCAAACAAATATCTCCTCTCCAGCAGCTAAAGTGGAGCCTGGACTGGAGTGATGAACCGCCTGCTTTAGCCTTGCATTGCTTCTAATGTTCTCAGAATCAGATGGTAGTTTTGGGGTTTCATTACCATCATGCTCTTGCCAGCTCTGAGTCAGTTTCAAAGTTAGTGCTTTGGAACCTGGTTCAGGCCAGATCTCAGCCTCTTCTACGACAGTCACGTCACTGTGTACATCAGTATCTTGTGTGGGTACTATACAATCTTTCTGGACTTTCCTGTCAGCAGAACGGAAGGATTCACTGCATGGAGACTCTAATTCTTCTGAGTCTTCGAGGGTAAAGCTGTGGTGATTGAACCTTGAACCAAATACCTGGCGATCTAGGTTTTCTAATTCTAGCCGCAATTCTCGGGTCATTGATGTTGTCATGGGAAAGTACTCAGTTGAATCATCTGGAGAACTACCATCACAATATGCCCCTCTATCTTTATCATCACATGTAAAGTTTGCACAGTGTATCTCCCGCTCTTCCAGGGATGTTACTGTGGGAAAACTATCATCTCCCGAGCAAGTGCTTTCATTGCATTCATTCACTAATGCATCATCCTGCCATACATGGGAAGAATCTTTCTTTGCTGCTGTACTAGGAACTACTTTATCTGGAAGAACATGGGTTTTATTAAGGGCTGTAAAGTTCAGAAATTCATTTAAATTCTTTACCACTCGCACCTGTCTTTTCTCTGGTGTGTCATCTTTAATTCTATCTTGAGTATCACCTTTATCTACTGAAGAAAAAAGGTTCTTACCATGACTTCCAGAAAGCTTTTCTTTAAGGTCCTTTATGTACCCTCGCTTTGCCCCCCCTTTTGGAATGATGATATCACCTGTGCTACCAGAATGAACTTCACTCTTACGGGCAGTGGTTGTGATGTTGATATGGTTGTTTAAGGTTGTCTCATCTGATTCAGGCTCTGAGAGTGTTTCAAATGAGGAAACACCATGTGACTTGGATTCTTGTTGTTGCGTCATCATGTGAATGCTGGCGTCATCTAGGCTTGAGAAGGGTTTCACTTTACTTCGCTCCTTAATAGATGACGTCTCATCCAAGCTCTGATTCTGTCTGTGACGGATAACTGGACGAGAGGTGAGAAGAGAATGAAGAGACGCAGCAGAACTCTGGCGCCGTAATGCACACACCTTGGTGTATGCATTCTCTCGGGGAGTCTTCAGAACAGGAGCCTCCCCTGGTGTCAAGGAACAGAACCGCTTTTCAAATAGCTGAAGTTCCTTTTGTGGCGGCAGAGGGGGTAACGAACTCCAAAGCACTTCCAGCATCCGTAGGGCATCATCAAATGCAAATTCCCGCTTCATCTCAAGTAACAACCAGCGATAGCAGAACAGAAGATCATCAGCCTAAAGAAAGGTGAATGCCAATATAAGTCAAAGTCCAAAATATACAGCATAAAATATTTACATTTCTGCTTCTTTACATTGTAAAGTTATGTAGAACAATCTGGACATTTTGCAAAACTCCTGATATCATGTATGGACAGAAATTATTCTTAAGCTGGAGCTGAGATTCTCACAGAGGTCATTTTGAAGAGCACCATTTTCTCGGATGTAACACCATGCAGTCCGGCAGAACTCCATCGATGTTCCTCCGAAACACTGGGCCCAGATGAATGCACAGCATTACAGCTTTGAAGATAGGACTCTTCAGAAATTATTTTTGCTATTTCATCAAATATTCAGCATACATAAAATATCTTTCAAAATTACAACTGTAATCTTAACAAGTGGTATATTTTATGTCACGTAAAAATCTGCTGTTTGATCAGACACTTTTGAGACTGTCAAAGTCAAGCTGACTTTCATGTAAAGCAGGGTTAATCAGCTTACTCATTTTCAAGAAAACTGCAGTGTTTTCTTGTTCTTCCTGCAAAGTGTACAAAATGATTCCATCTCTTTGACACTGTATGAATTGTTTCAGAAACTACTGAATAAGATTCAAATGGAATTTGCATGAAGTGGTACAAGTCAAATTTAACTTTGGTTTGTATTACTCATATTTTATGGATCTTAGAGAGATAGGCTGGAATGGTATGGATAGGATTGATCTAGCTCAGGATAGAGACCAGTGGAGGGCTCTTGTCAACATAGCAATGAACCTTTGGGTTCCATAAAATGCTGGGAAATTCTTGAGCAGATTTGGCTTCTCCTCAAGAAGGGCTCAGCTCCATAAGTAAGTACAGTTAGTGCCTCATAACTTTAGCCACGCGGAAAGGTAAATGCTGTTGTGGAGCACGCGAAGCTGTACCCTTGCTGTGGTGACGTTCAGAGCTACTCCCCGAGCGAATAACATTGTCTATGGAGACCAGGAGTAAATACAAAACGTACTATACACCTGACCTCACTCCACGATGCTACATTACAAACTGGTAGTCCCCACACTGATAAAAGCTGATAAGACTGCTCCCCCAGCAGCATGAAACATGGTATGACCCCTCTACCACAGCTAGTGGGTGATTGTGGAGCAAATGGTGGAATGAAAATTGGCAGGGGAAACCGAAGTACTCTGAGAAAATCTGCCCCAGCGCCACTTTGTCCACCACAAATCCCACTTGATCAGAACCGGGATCGAACCCGGGCCACCGCAGTGGAAGCCAGCGACTAACCGCTTGAGCTATGGCGTAGCCTCAAGTAAGTATGTAAGTAAATAAGTATTACTCAAATTTAATTCTATTCTACATGAAGCTTAAATTTAACTCTGTCACTTCTCACAATGGTTGACTGAACAAGCTGTACATAAAACAGAATATATTGCCTGTTAACATTACAACCACAGTGCTTTCCACATGATGAATATTTAATAAAACACAAAAAAAAAAATAGTTTCAGCCTTGTAACCTGATCTGTACCTACAGTGTAATGGAACCAAGTACTGGCATTCACTTCTCTCTGTTGTTAAAGAAAAGATATACTTCGATATTTTGATAATTTAAGAAATTAAAAGACAGTGGAAGTTAATAAGAAAGATTAATTCCATACAGGAGTACACCTTCTACTATGAATTGTTTTGTGGGTTACTACATGATGCTCTCATCAGCAAGACTACAGAGTAGCAAAGGGTAGGGTGACAGATGAACCAAAAATAATATGCATGGCAGGAGTCATGGCCTGAGGCACTACACCAGCATTCGCTTGAAGCGAGTGTGGAAAACCATGAAAGACATCATCATTGGCTCCCAGCTAATATCTGAAGTGACTGCCTGCCAAATAGAAGTCTACAGCACTACCATCATGCCAGAACAGTCACTCAGGCCCAGTCATGGTTCAACTTCAATGCAAAATATCAGTAATACGCACATACTGGCTTCTCACTTGTCTGTTACAAAAATAAAATGTCTCACATGTCTGTGTCTTTTAATCAGTGAGTTTCCAACAGACAGAACCTTCTTCTAAGACATTCAGACCATGATTGTGTAAAGGATGCTTAATGCTTCACAAAACCCAATTGAGAACAGTCCTAGGATTACACTTTGCAGATGCTTACCTGATGACTCTTTAAGTAAGCATAAAACTCTGGGTCATAACAGAGAAGTCCTTCTGCCAAATGCTGGAATTTAAGCGTCATGACAACACCATCCAGTAGGAAGTTCGAGTGCAGACGCTTCATCAGCGCACAGAAACAGATGTACGCGTGTGCTTCATCTCCCATTGTCACCAGAAGTGGTGACGCAAGATCACTCATTCCTTGACAGTAACTTACTGTTGGGTGATTCAGTGCATATCTAAGAATGGAATATTCACAGACACAATTCAGTCACGAGATTTCAGTCTTCTGAGATGTGATGCTGTGTAGGATGGCAGATGGTTGCAAACATTTCAGAGGAGCATACTGCATACATCTTCAAAGGCAAACTTCAACCTTGAAAGCTGGGGGACTACATTCCTCTGAAACGTTGGTACCTATCTACATGACATCATATCTCACAAGGCGGTAACCTCAATACTCTCCATACCATGAAAACCTCTGATCTCATAAACTAAAGAATTAATGATCAAGCAAGTTTAGAGACTATCAGAAAAGTATATATGATCACTGCTATGCACGTGTTCTTCAAATTTGAAGGCACTGGGTTGCTAGGTTAGTACATTCAAGAGACATAAACTGACATGAACCAATATGCTTACGTTGTTAGTATATTGAAAAGGGAGGCTATATTTTGATTATCATCACTACCAGCATAGAATTCGTGGTGGCGATCTGTTCTCAGCACATCCTTGCGTACCATGCTGGTCACATATGCCAGGTCTCCTGTCACCTATTAACAATAAATTACAAGTAGATTTCATACATATGTCTGCTTTACATTTATAAGAGGGTAAGTCAATAAGTAAGTTACAAATGGATATAGATCTTGAACAAATAAGAGTACTGATTTGAAAAATGCTTTTATTTCTCAACATAATCTCCCTGTACATTGAAGCACTTGTCTCATCGTGCACAGACTTTGTGAAAACCTAACCTGTCATGCATTATGAGGTAGGCCATGCCACATGAACACGCCTGGTTCCGACAGCAGCCCAAAGAATTTTATGCTGCTGGTTTTCAGGGGCTTGTGAAACGATGGGACAAGTGCCTCAATGTACAGGGAGATTACGAGGGTCGATCAATAAGTACCTGTGTTAGGAATAAAGACACAAGTTTTTCACTTTTTTTTTTTAAATTTTTCAACGTAATCTCCTTTCAGGTCGATACACTTTTCCCAACGTTTCTGCCATTTCTTTAACCCCTCCAAAAAATACGATTTGTCAAACTCTTCAAAATACGCTTCTGTCTCGGCGATAACCTCCTCGTTTGAGCTGAATTTTTTTCCCCCGAGCCATGTTTTCATGTTGGGGAACAGAAAAAAGTCACAGGGAGCCAGGTCAGGCGAGTACGGTGGGTGTGGCAGCAATTCATAGTGCAGTTCATGCAATTTGGCTACGACAATTCCAGATGAATGTGCTGGTGCGTTATCGTGGTGAAACAGCACCTTTTTCTTAGCCAAATGGGGCCGTGTCTCCTTCAATTTCTTATCGAATCGGTCCAATAATTCACTGTAGTACTGCCCCGTGATCGTTCTTCCTTTCTGCAAAAAGTCCATGAGGATTATTCCCTTCGAATCCCAAAAAATCGTGGCCATGACCTTTCCGGCCGATGGGACCGTCTTTGCCTTCTTCGGAGCAGATTCACCCGGAAAAATCCATTGTTTTGACTGTCGCTTGGTCTCTGGCGTATAATAATGTATCCAGGTTTCATCAACGGTGACGACTCGACGCAAAAACTCCTGCGAATTTCGCTTAAAGAGGTCCAAACACTGCTTCGACATTGACAGCCGTATCCGCTTGTTGTCCACCGTGAGCAACCGCGGCACCCATCGGGCTGACACCTTTCTCATACTTAAGTTATCATGTAAAATATTGAGTGCCGTTCCGTACGACACACCTATGGCCTCTGCTACTTCGCGCACTTTAGTTCGGCGATCAGCGAGAATCATGTCATGGACCTTTTCAACGATTTCCTCGGTAACGACGTCTGCCGGGCGGCCCGGCCGCTCCTCGTCAAAAACAGATGTACGACCACGTTTAAATTCGTTGAACCAATATCTCACGGTTGTCATAGATGGTGAAGGGTCCCCATAGACGGCATCCAACTTCGCTTTTATTTCTTCGCATGTTTTTCCATCCAAAAATAAAAAGCGAATTACGGATCGATATTGCACTTTCTCCATTGTATCAAGAAAGACAAAACACGTCTGATGCAACTGGCTGCCAAATAAAAACTAACCTATGAATCAGTCTGAAATTTAGTATGGGGTCGTTTGACAGATGGCAGTACACGACGGTAAAGCCAAATTCCCTCAGCAACGCCACCTGTCTTCAAACACGGGTACTTATTGATCGACCCTCGTATGTTGAGAAATAAAAGCATTTTTCAAATCAGTACTCTTATTTGTTTAAGTTCTATATCCATTTGACTTACCTACGTATTATTATTCGCTTACTTGTAGACCATTCCAATATGAGACCAGGAACATAGACTATATAGCACCAAATGACTTGATGACAGTGAACAATGAATTTGAAATGATGATGAAGTAAACAGCTGAGGTTTAATTTTGGCTACATTCAAGCTGTGATGAGTTTATTTGGAATGACAAAAAAGTATAAAAATTTACTTAGGTTTTTCATCTCCATATTCTGAACCCTTTTGGTACAAGAAAGCACTAAAAACTGATAATTAAGATTTACATTATGGTCTTCTGAGCTATAACGCTGTGTTGCAGTCTGTTAATTAGTACCAAATTTTCAGAGGAACATACACCTTCCATCTTCAGTGTTGAAGTGATTTAAGTCCAAAGCCCCTATACAGTCCTTCCTTCTTGACACCAGAATTTTGGGAGTTGTATTTGCTTACTTCAAACCTGAAGTTGGACCGAGCATGTTGCTCTCAAATACCTGGTACCCACTTACCGGACGGCAACATGTTCCCTTAACCCAGATGACTACAACAAGAATCTTCAATTTTGTGAAAATCCAAATTTGTTTTAAAAACTTACTTGTCCATTCTGCACCATTTCTTTCCAACAATCTCTAAGGGTCTGATATTCATACGCCTTCTTTTTCATGTAATCCATTCTTTCCTTCCCAGACATGCCCTCTGGATACACATTCAGAATGTGTTTCCAAACCACTTTCCTGCAAAGCAAATCAATAATCAAATCACATGTCCAATGCTTATTGAGGTATTATATCAATATTAAACAATAACCCCCCAACGTCACCTCGCTCAGTAATCCTCTCTGAAGTAGGAGGGATAATGGTTACCACATTCATTAATCTTATGTCTCTGTGTACTATCTAGGGCATAAACATATGAAACACAGTTCTATAACAAACGGAAACCACATTTGGGAATGTATATATAAATCAAGATGAAATAAAAGGAAATGAAGAAGTGACTAGACACAGGGAAAAAATGGAAAGCAGAGCTGGAAACACAAAGCTGCAATATCATGTGTCGGATTTGCTTGATATAGGAGAGACAACATTCATATGAAGAGTACTATCTCCTGGGATGTGACACCATGCAGTCTGGTAGGGCATTTCCAAACTGTGAGACATACCTCAGACTCGGCTCTATGCCGCCACGATAGATGGCTTTCCTCAGCTCACGGGACTGTACCACCTGACCAACAGGATCCAGAAACTTGTGGAACTCTGTGTCCGTCAGTGGCGCGTGGAGTGGCTGATCAGAAATCGGAGGCTGCTGCTCCTCTATGAGGTTCAACGCTCTCTGCACCATATTGAAGGTCTTCTCAACCTGGTTCAAGATCAAGCCTGGCAGTCGGTTCTGAGGCTTGTTTTCTGGCACCTGAGTTTGCGGAACATCAGCACATCCTAACACATCCCAATCGTCCACACTCTCTTCAAATGGCTTCATATCCACTTGTAAACACAGGCAAGGCTCTGAAGCGCTGGAATTGAAATGTTCTATGCTACAAAAACATGTCTGCCAAAGAAATGTCATACACAATGAACAAACTCCTGCAACAACTTGACGGACTACAACACAAACATTATGAGGGACAATGTCCAGTGTCAGGGGTATACTTCACAGACATTTTGGAGGTTGGCCCTGTTCCCATCTTCAGGTGCTGCTTCAGCAGTAGGTCAACTCTTTGTTATACCACGAACCAATCGGATCACCTACAGGTATCTGCATTGAAAGTGTGAGAGCTAAAGGGATTGGCTTGGCATTCATAACTTAATACAGAATTTCTGTCAACAGATGATACCAAGTGTAATATACTGATAGAATAAGCTGTTTATAAAACTGTGCTACAGAGGGCCAAATGGGCATTGCCTAGGCCCTTTCTGTATTTACACGAATGTTCTTAAAATAAAAAAATTAGAGGAAAGAAAAGGCTTTCACATGATCTGTTTGTACAGTCATGTCAACGTAATCTTAGTGCATTTACCTCCAACCAGCCTTGGCAGTCAATGGGTTAAGCACAAAAACAATTTCAATTTTACCATCATAATGAAAAGAATGGCAAACAAATTGCAATATTGAGGTACCTGCTCTGATGGCTTCAGATGCTCCTTACATTAACAGAAGTCAATCGTTCAAAGTAATGTAACGATTTACACAGCAAGACGGAGTTACTGAGTACAGTAGCTGAAATTTGTTACCTAAGGAATGCTGCATCCAAGTCCCAGTCTGATAACAAAGATAAGTATGTCTCCTGCCCATAGTCATCAAATGCTCTGTAGCAAACAGTGAATTCCCTGGAATAGAGATCAGCACAATCAAAACAAAACCAGTTACAACTGCATGCAAATGGTAATTGTAACGTTTTTTGTACATTTATAACGTTGTTTAGGTTCCTGTTAACAATTCACACTGTTCAAAACATCAAACTCCACTGGCAAGCTCATTGCAGTGGGTGAAGAGCATATAGTACATTGCTTAAGTATAAATTCAATTCAATTCAATTCAATACAGACACACACAGGGACAGAAGGGAAACTCAAGAGAGGGTGAATAGGAACAGAAATAAATCAGAGAAAATTTAAAGATAAATTAATACCGTATTTACGCACGTATAGGCCGCACATTTTTTGCCAAAAATTCAAGAGGAAAACTGGGGTGCGGCTTATGTTCGAAATATTCGAAATCACACTTCATTTAAAAAAAATTATATTCATAATTAGTAATACAGGGTGTAATACTCCTGAAATAACATTCCAAGAAAATTATTTTTTCTATAATTTGTCTGAAAATTGTGCTGCGGCCTAGACACGCACGCGGCCTATACATGCGCAAATACGGTAAATTATGTAACAGGTTGGTATTGGTAAGTTTCCAGGGTGAATGATGACAGAATCTTACAGAAGATATTGACATGACAGATAAAGGAAGAGGCAGACCAGGATCAAAGCTGCAAAGAACAGGCTAGGAAAGATGTCACATAGAGGGAAGACACAGATGGAATCGGCTGACTAGACAACTAACACAAAGTAGTAACGTCAAGGAAAGAGCGTGATAACAGTTAAGAGCTAATCTATATTAAAAGAATGTGTGAAACAAACCCTCTGATATCGAACGCCTTGGCCAGGATACTCTGGAGCACTTCAAAAGATGTGATCTGCGGATCCACACTGAACTTCCTGTACTCTGGCTGCAGGACACCTTCACATTTCTGAAAGGAAAGTCTCAATATTGATATACAGCACGTAACATGTTGCATCTGAACCAGCTCACAGAATCCTGAGCTACAAGTGTTCAACTTATATACATATTTCACTGAACAGGCTGGTCTAGTAGTAAAGCTCTAGGCTTGTATTTAGGTGGTGTTCAGTTTGAACCTCAGCTGGCACATAACTGAAGTTTTCTCTGGTTTTCATTAGCCACTCCAAGGAAATTACAGGGCAGTGCCTTGTTTAAACTGCAACCACTTCCTTCCAAATACATTCAAATTCATCATTCACCTACCACCTTCCCATTCAACACTGAGAGCCTTAACAACAAACATCTTGTTGAGAGCAAGTGTTTCAGTAACACATTCAGAATACAGCAGGACTTCCATTTATCATAACATGGTTCTTAATGCAGTATGGACAGCTTCTAGATGTATGTCTGTTTTCAAAATGTATGGGCTAACATACAAAATATTACACCAACTAAGTTTAATGACACATTAGCCAGCCATGTGTCACCTGACACTATCTGCCAGTTAAAATTTCAGTCCAATCAATCTTCAACTTGAAGATGGAGGCAGCATGTTCCTGGTTTGAATACCATCTAAAGCATCTCTGAGGTTGCAGTCATTATCGGCCAGCGAGACCAACTGTCAAGTCACCATTACAGAGTTAAGAGATTCTACCTGCCACATCACACCCTCAACGGTGTTCAAGAGAGACAATATCCAGCTACAAGACTATACGGTGTTGAACTCAGGAGACCACACTCAAAGCTTTCTATCGCCACACCAGAAGCTTCACACCTCTTGTGGGATGTTACACTGTCTAGTCTGTTTCAGAGGAATCTGCTGCCTCCATCCTCAGGACAGAATGGATACAGAGAGATGGGCCACCAGGAGGTCCCAGAAGACTGCACACTTAAGCAAACAGCATATCTCACCAAGCAATACTGTACTGCTCCAGCTTCTCAACATTAACAGAACTACGAACAAAAAAATTAGCTTCAACTGCTTATAGCCGACTGCCTTGAAGGAAATGTGATATTTTGCTGACAATGACACCAATGATAACAAAGTGCCGAAGTGGCACTCCAACTTCTCTTTATCCTTGTTCTGCACAACTTGTTGCCACTGAACTAAATGCCAACTACACAGCACAATTTGTTTGCTTCAAAACTCTGTGTTTAGTTGACAATTTGCTACCTCATTGCTCAGCAAGAAAACATGCAACAAGAATCATTATTATACAAAAGTATTCATGTCAGATTTTAGGTCATCTTCAGTGTGAGAATTGTGACTGTAGCCTGATGTGATGCTGTGTTGTACAGTAGATCGACCTCTGATGATGCACTACACACAGTATTCCAGCCAGAAGTGTATGCCCATTACAGAGTGTGAAGCAGAGAACATGATTAGTGGTCACATGAACAGAAACATCAATATTCTACCAGTCAGGCTGCAATTAAAGCAACTGACAATTACCATATCAGGGGCCTATATTCTGGAATATATTGCCATGTAGCACACTGACAGTCAACAAACGTTTTGGAGGAATCTGATTCTTCCATCTTCAGGGTAGAACTCTTCAACCGTGAAGGAGGAAGTATGTAGCATAAACATCAGAAACATCAGTATCTATCTACCAGACTGCACAGTATCACATCCCCAAATACTGCAGTTTTAACCCTTTGAACCTGAAATTTATCTTAACAATATTTAAAAATGAAACACTCCACTTACAGGAAACACACCTCAAATTAGGACATCATCACTTCCTTCCACACCCATTTCAATTCACTGTTCATTAAAACGTCTTTCCATTTGATGCTATATAGCCTCAAATACAGGCAGCATTGTTAACAAAAAACCTTATAATAAATGAACGGGCAACTTTGTGCTGTTCTTGTCCTACTTTTTAGCCTGAAAGTCAACCTCTTTATCGTCCTTGTGATGAGATAACTGTTTCCACAATACATGCCTCTCAAGGAATGGTAAGTAAAGGGTAACTGACCCACTTTAAGCATTGGCCCATTTGTAAAAGTGTAGCTCCTGCTTTTCTTAATCTGCAGCACTGGATGGTCAAGTGTTGTCAGTGTTATGCCCCACTCTATACCCCCTGGGAAGAAGCCCAGCGTACCCACTGTGTGGGTCAAGAGCTGGTCTGCAAGCACTGGTGAACAGAACAATCTTTGCTTCTACCAGGAATCACATCTCGATCCTCTGATTGTGCAACATATAGCCTATTCACTAAAGAGACTTAGCTATGAGGATCATGATAACAAAAATAAGTATCCATTACCAAAAGCCAAACAATTAAAAATGTCATTTTATCCATGACCCTTAAAAAAAGACATGAAAGTAGTAAGATCTATTTCACATGTCATGTTCTCACAGAGGTGACTATGAACAGTACTGTACTCTGGTGATACCGCGTAGTCTGGTAACTTCTACTGTCTATCTGGTATGACACCCCAGAAGATAGTATTCTTCAAGTAATACTTAATTTGGAAGTGTAACATTTTTAGATTTATAGGTCAGTTCCGTCATTCTGAAGTTCAGATTGAAGCTGTGTGCTATCCAACATGATCTGACTGACCGTAAGTTCCGCATAACGCAACACGATGCACCCGGAGGACTGGGGCATTCTTAAGATGTTTATAACCAGTAGAACCTACTCAGCATTAAATTAAGTATGATATCATTATTTACTTATGATTTACTGTCAGTGTTGACTGGTAGGATGGTTAGAGACTAACAAATTGGAAAGAACACAGAAGGCAGCAGTCACGGCCCAATTTGAGGTACTATCCCAGCATCTGATTGGAAACACTATGGAGAACCACAAAGAACCTTTGTACGGATAGCTGGTCTCTGGGCAGAGATTTTAACCTTGGACCTCCAGAATATGATGCACAAGTGATACCCACTCACAACATTCTGTGATGTCCATTCATGTGTCACACTTGAGAGCGCAGGAAGTGAGTGTGGCCTGTTTCATGGCACTATCCTGGCACCTGCGCAGAGCAACTGAAAACAACTCAATATAATAAGACGCTGCAGCTGAGACTGAGTTGGATCAATGCTGAATACAATCTGGATATACTGGGAAAATCTGCTCGGTATGTAATTGCCGAAGCAAGTGGTTTAAGTCATTTTGTGTTGGGGAAATCCCCATTCCATCTCCTTCCATGCCATGTAAATACCTGTAGTTTCACAAGCCCTTTATGTTGAAACAGTACACAACTGTTTCATTTCATTCTATTAACAACTTTTCAGAATCAAAAATAGGAAAATATTTATAGTTCTGAATTATCTTTACAGACATTTTAAACTTTCAATGGTATGATAATGTGTGGCTGGGACAAGTGAATGTCTACTGACACATCTCCCCCATAGACTCCTCCTAGTCCCATAAATTCCACTTCATATCTCTCTCCAGTAAAACCAAGCATTTGAGATTCAGCCTTTTAATTTTCTGTTAATCTCCTATGTTACAACATGCCAAAATTTACAGGAATACACACACACACACATATATATATATATATACAGAGTGTCCCAGGAGGAATGTGCCAAACTTCGGGAGGGTGTTCCTTATGTTAAAGTATGCCGATATAACCCAAAACACCTATGTCCAAAGTTGAACGGTTACGGAGATAATGGCCAGAGAAGTGTCAAACTTTGACCGGGGTTACACACTTGTTGATTACAAAATAGATATTAAAACTGGCAGGAATATGTGGATTCTGTAACGTTAATAATGTACGTAACATCAAACTAACTTGTGAGTGACATGAAGCCATAAAATTGAAGTACAAAAAACTCGCATGCCATCTCAAAGTTGTCGTTAAGAGTTCCAAGCACTGTACATGACACATGAATGGTAAGCGATGACGTAACGTGCTGACTGCGCGTTCTGATAAAGCCAACTCCATAAGCACGGATAGGATGAATCACGGCAGTCAAGGACAAACAGAGATAATTCCTCTCAGCTGATAGGTATAATCCGTGGACCCGCTAGAAGACCACACTTTTCTCGGGCCATTATCTCCGTAACCGTTCAACTTTGGACATAGGTGTTTTGGGTTATATCGGCATACTTTAACATAAGGAACACCCTCCCGAAGTTTGGCACATTCCTCCTGGGACACCCTGTATATATATATATATCTGAGAGAACCCACGACTATCCCAATGGCCATCATTATTCTAAGCACAATCTAAAAATCATTCAGAAAAACATTTTTACAAGTATACGTGCATATGTATGTGTACATGTTCACGTAACTGAAAACTTTACCTCATTACTTATTTCAGAAAAGTGAAAAGTTGCAACATAAATTGTAATGAAGTAGCTAACAGCTGACCTTTGAAATTAGTGTAACAATTTAATACTGGATTACTCTCAGAGCGGAGTTATATTTAGTGGCGAGGAGGAAGACTCCCTACATCACTGTCAAGGTTTGAAACCTCCTTGCAGAGACAAGACCAATCACATAATTTGTCAAAACTGTTCCTATGAAACAGCTGACATCAAGCATGGGGAGGATCAAGCCAAAACACAATAAATCAACTAACAATTCTTTGTTTCTTTCACTTGCACATAAATAACTAATAAACTTTAAATCTCTAAGTTACATAAGTACTGTACATCTCTGACCTTCTTCGCTCTAAAGCAGCCCAAAAAAAACCTCAGCAAAGAAAGGATGAATACCTCTATACCTAAAATTCCATAATGATACAGTCCACATTTGTATTAAATCACACTGTGCCCCATGTAGTGGATTACTGTTTTAAGACATGCTCGCTTCAACTGCTGTTCCTTTTTCATGACCCACCACGCAGAAGAAATATAGTCCTCTCCCTCAGAAAAAGTGGATTTCTTCTTTCATGTTTACTCCCACAGAACTCTGACCCACCTATTCTTGCATCAATTGCCAGTTTCATTTGTTACAAGTTTCTCTTTAAATGCAAGTAAGAATAACACACCTCTGCTGGCTGCTCAGCTGATGAAGCAAGGCAAGTATATGCTTTTCTCTTTGCCTTTGAAAGTCTTTCCAAACCAAACTAATCTGGAATAAGTCTCTCTCCTTTAGCAGGCATATTTTCCTGAACAACATATGACTTATTATGCTTACTTCTTGTTCTTACTGTTTTTCTTCTACCCTTCCAGTTTGTATCAAAAAGCACTGACAACTTTGTAACATACACAAAGGAATGTACATTTTTGTGCTGCCTAGGTGTTATCGCTGTGATGAGAAATAAATAAATAAATATAGTGACTGTCTTCCGTGATATGCCATGTAGCAGAGCTGATATCTACTTCATGCTGGTTTCTTGCTTGGCTAATTGAATGTCACAGTTCATTAGTAAAAAATAATGATACAATATTCAACTGTTAGGGTGCATTATTTATAATCCCAAATAAGAGTGTAATGTTACATCATCATACAGCATTTGCTGGCTGACACTACCAACATATCTGAATTTTTAAAAGGGGCTTTCCTTTACCATCACATGTCATTAGCAAAAAAAAATATTAACAGTATAAAAAATGGAATTTAAATTTAATGTATACAGAAGTAAATGTCAGGTAGTCAGAAACGTTAGCCTTCGTGCAAGTACCGATAACTTCCTACGCTAACTACAAGCTAGTTCAATCTTAGACAATATGTTACGCAAACCATATTATTCAAACACTTCGCGTGTACAATACTTGAATAGTACCTTGACTTTCACTCTGACTGCTTCACGACCGTAGCCAAATACTCCTGCCATTATATTCTGCATTTAATTTTAAGTTCGCTCTTACAAATACATTTCAAAAACTAAAAGAGGCAAACATTAATACACTGACTCTAAATTATTATCATGTGCTTTCCGTGGAAATAATATCAGATTTTTATTGCTTCGTGACAACTGTTCAACAGTCTCACATTAGTTGCTTATAGTTGTCGACCTACAGGTCCTGTAGATATCGACGAGAATGCAGCGAGGGATCGACCCATCGCAGTAGCTCCGACCCATCGTGCAAAATATCACTGCTGGTGCGAAGCAAGCCGTGGTGGAATTCCTTCATTGCGTTGTAACATTCAGCTCACATAATAGCTTCGTATTTTTGATTGAATCTCTTGGCGATGTACCTATTATTTGTCATTCGGTGTGAAGTTAAGTTACTGTACGATGAAAATAAGATCCTTAAAATCTGCATCCGATTTAATGACCGAAATCGTGACTTTTAAAAATCCCTTGCCAACTTTGACGAGTATTTTTGGCCCTGTCATCATGGTCATATTTTCAATTTTAGCTCCAAGTTCCTCTACTACCTCCATGGACCATAGTTCTTGGGGAAACTTGTCAAGAAATTCCCCGCGTGTTATGAAATACGACGTTCCAATACCTTGTTCAAAAACGGCCACCACTGCTGGATGTTGTCATGAGGAACGCGCATCTAATTCATTTCCCCTTACTTACTTACTTACTTACTTACTTACTCATGGAGCTGAGCCCTTCTGGAGGAGCCGCCAATTCTACAGCTACTCAAGAATTTCCCAGCATTTTATGGAACCCGAAGGTTCATTACCATGTTCACAAGAGCCCTCCACTGGTCCCTATCCTGAGCCAGATCTATCCAATCAATACCATCCCATCCTATCTCTGTAAGATCCATTCTAATATTGTCCACCCACTTACGCCTTGGTCTTCCTTGTGGTCTCTTTCCTTCTGGCTTTCCCACCAATATCCTACACGCATTCCTCGGCTCCCCCATTCGTGCTGCATGACCTGCCCACCTCATCCTCCTTGACTTGATAATTCTAATCATATTTGGAGAAGAGTACAAGTTATGAAGCTCATTTCCCCCACAAACATTATTTCTCTGATGTCCATTTTAATATTATCTATGCCTTGGTCTTTCAAATGGTTTCTTCATTTCACGTTTTCCTACTCAAATTTTCTGTACATTTCAAGTTTCCTCGAAGAGTAATATTGTTCCGCTTTCGTGTCTTCCTCGCTTTGGTCAGCTCCGATTGTTCGACGAATAGTATAAAGTATCAGAATTAGTATCCCATTGTCTGATTCTTTTATGTTCTCGTGCGGCTTCCTCTCTCTTAGGTCCTGATACTCTCCCCAGCACTTGTTCCCGGACATTCCCATGGCAGTGGCTATGAAGAGTGCGATCTTTTGGGTTATAACGCTGTGCAATTCATTGCTCGACGTTTCGGAGAAACATGTCGTATTCATATTAAGGGTGAAAGAGACTACTTGCTGTTGTTGGTTTCTCGCTTATCTTACTCTTCGACCTTGAAAGATGGTGGCAATATATTCCTCCGAAACAAGGCTATGCGCCTTTCCAGCCTACGCCTTTTTATTGTCTTCAAATGTATCGTCTGGAATTCTCCTCCAGAGGCTGAGGAAATCGCGATTAGTAATTCCGACAGTGGGGCTCCAAAATGCGAATGAGATGCATTAACTGTTAGATCAACTTCCTGCTTCTAAGTGCATTCAACAACAAAAACAACAAACAAACAATTTTTCAGAGAACGTCGGTGTGTAATTGTCAGCAATTCTCCTGTTTTGGAGGCCCTGATTTCGACTCTTCGCTCGAAAATTTTGTGTCTAAATTTCGTACTTTTCTTCAGTAATACTCTTACAGATAAATGCTGGAAAGTACGTTAAATCACGTCATAGCCGCTTCTTCTACACAAAATCTAATATGGAGTCCATGCGCTCTCCTATCATTCACCGCTACAGACAATACAACCTAAGTCCTTCTTACGCATTTATCTGTTTATTCGTAATGTATTTAACAGAGACGACAGTTACTCATAATATTCTGTGTCGAATGATGGCATGACAGTTAACAATGAATTAGGCAGGACTTGAAAGGAAGCAGTAACCATAATCAAGTTACCATTCCAGAGTTTTTCCGAAGGGACTGAGGAAAACAATGAAGACCTCGGCAAGAAGAGTCGGTGTACCAGCCGAGATTCGAGCTGGGCAGCAATAGAATAAAAGCCAGAAGCGTTATTGCTTGAGCAAACTTCGCTCAGTATCGTCATTCTTGAGAAGCTATTAGTTGCTCACCTAGTCAGGAATTTTCCCCGCCTTTTATGGAACCCGAATGGTCATTTCCGTATTCACAAGTTCCCCCCCCCCCGCTCCACTGGTCTCCTTCACGAGACAGATTAATTCAATCCATACCGCCCGATTCTATTTCTTTAAGATCATTATACAAATATATTATTATCATGTGGGATGTGACGCCGTAGACACGGGTAATTATTTACCAACGTTCATCACCGCTGTTTCCCGAACTGCTGACTCTTCCGCCCTGAGGCTGGAGGAGCAGTTTCCTCCGAAACATTGATACACCCCCACGCAGTCTGTGAAGATTTGCCGAATGCGCCTGTCGCGAGGCCGCTGCGTGGCGTGGCGCGGCGTCGGCGCCCCCCGCAGCTGCAGAGCACAGTTGGCGGTCGCGTCGAGCTGATATGTGGGCTGTGGCTCTCCTGCTGGCCACTGCTACCTCAGCCTCCGACACTGAGCATGAAGCCAGCGTCACTTCACTGCACAAATGTTGCGGGCCCTACTCCAGTTTCAGGCAAGACATGGTCACCGGTGATTTCGAGTGTCATGTGGCTGCCTCACCACTGCATGCTCACGGGGCTCAGGTGAGGCACGGTCTCCCAGAGTCTTGCAATACGAGTTTAATAGCTGTGAAGCCTTCTACCGTTCTCCCTGTCTCCCGCTACTGCATTGATAAAGTGGAAGATGAGTCTGAGGGTGCCGGACTGACGTCAGTAGTGGGGTTCGTGTGTGCCGATGAAGATTCCGTGAGAAGTGTAACTTCGCCGAATGTGATGACAGTAAAGAAATGCTGTGTTAATGGGACGTACGATCCAGGGGACCGGATTTGTCGTGATATTACTCATGGAAAAGAAAAACTGGAAAACATAATTCTTCGCGATTCTGTGTGTTTTATAAATTTTGAGTATGGTTTGTCGGAATGCCGTCCCAACGAGGCCCTAGCGATTACTGTGGTCGATACTGGGCAGATAGAACTTCTGGATAATGGTTCTGTTCTTGTGAACACAAGCGAAGGAATTTTAATGTTGGATGATGAGGCTTTCTGTATGGATGCTGTCGCTAACAGCAGTGGTTCTGTGGTGGTGAAATACTGCCAGAGTGTCGAAACAGCGTGCAGGAGAAGGCCATGCGTTCAGAAGTGTTGTCCTGATGGGCGAGGGATGATACATTCTAAATCCTGCACACCCTCTGATTTCGACTTCAACCCTCAATTCTATAACATAGTTTCTACTAACGGTGGATTCGAGCGTACACAAGCAACGGTCCCTTCATTTGCAGTTCTCTCCAACTTAAACTGTGACAAGTTCATACTGAGACCAGAAGCAACAGATGGCGATATCTCTTACTTAGAAGTTGACGGAAGGCTTTACGTTCCCAAGCACAAAGATCCTCATCTCACAACTGACATGTACTGCCTCGAAAAGGTGACTTTTCCAGAAGAGGACATGGAAGGCATCTATGCGTTCCTGTGCTTTCCGGAAGATGACGTGGAGGAAGATACTTCTCTTCAGTTTATCCTGTGTTCGCTGGGACTTATCACCTCCAGTGTGTTCCTTTTGGCTACGTTTCTGGTGTACGCCTGCGTGCCCAGTCTCCAGAACCTCCACGGCAAGACCCTCATGTGCCACGTGGTCAGCTTGTTCGCAGCCTATGTGTGCCTCAGCGTGGCGCAGCTGGGCAGTGACCACTTGGACTTCTTCTTCTGTGCGGCTATGGGTGAGTAAGGCTTTCGTTACAGCATGCACAGTCCAGTCGCATCTAGAGGAACAGCTAAGCGGAGGAGCCTAATGATTCCTTCGATATGGATTAATTATCAATTGTTAAAACTACTTCAAAATATAAAAATGTAATAATTATTTTTATTTATGCACGAAACTTTTTTTTCAGACAAGAACCATCCAACGTTGTCTTCATTTAGGCAAATCTCTCACTTGTGAACTGATATACTCGTAATATTTTTTTTATTTATTTGGTAGAAAAATTGATACATTTGCTATAATTTGTAAAATTGTAATATTAAACTGCACTTTTTAAGTCAAAATTCCCAGGAAAATATTTTTCATAATGGGCCTAAATTTTATAAAAACGTTCCGATCAGAGAGCATTTCCCAAACACAATGAAAATATCCGGAAAATTTTCATTTCTGTTGGGTACATCTGCAGAAATATTAACTAAACTGAGACACGGCTTTAGCCTAAATGAATTTTCCGAAATGAGGGTGAAGAGGTTCACTAGGAGGGACATTTGAGAATTACATCTCTACAACGGTACACTCTGAGATGAGGACTCTGTCCGTCGTCTAGTTTTCCAAACAGGACAAAATGTTTCGGAAACTGAATCTGTTCCCTTCCTCAGGTGAGAAGATGATGAGGAGCCTTCACAGTTGGAAGCGTTACAGTCGCTGTACCAGTGTTTGGAAACACATCCAGTTTTCGAACCACTCTTTTCTTTCAGAATACCACAAAACGGACAAAATCCAGAAGTTCATTAATTCGAAGACTAGTGCGCTACACGAACGTCAAACCCGCTTAGGAAATAATGAAGCCTATTGCCAAGAATAAGCGCGCGCGCGTGCGCGCGTGCGTGCTAGGGGTGGGGCGATTATATACGTATATATATTTGTATTTACGGTCATGTCATGAGTGCAACTTGCACGGGCTGAAGACAACAGGTTCATTTCGAGTCTTGGCAGATGCACAGGCAATCCAATATTTTTCATGAGTAATGCCTTCAATTAGGCCGGCCCATCAGTCAGTTTTCATCCAATCATTGGATGATATATAATCCGAATTAGAGACAGTTTCCGTAAATGAGTTCCAGATACAACAAAGAGATGAACGCTCAAGAGATTCTTCCTTTCCCACCTTGGCCTTCACCTGTATGCCGGCATGTCTGTCTGTAATTAGATTACGTTTTCGTGTTAAGGGAAGTTACTTGAGGCTGAACTCACAGCGGATAGAACTTTGCAAGCAGCTACAATAACTAACACTTCGAAGTCCAGCGGTTCCTATATGTACCACTAGCTTCAATATCACAAATCCTTCATTTTGCCCACACAGTGCGTTCAAGTGTTTCTTATGGGGGGGGGGACCAGCGATCACTCGCCTAAACAGCATTAACCGCTCGATCTTTGTAACGGATACACAGTAAGTTTTCTGTGAGACGGATGCTGAAATTCTAAATATTATTTAGACGGATTTCGGGCTTCTAAGGACGAATAAAATGCAAAGCTCTCGCGAGATCACCCATTCCAAAATCATCCTGCCGTGTGACAATTTCTCTCTGTATATTTTTGGAAGTTAACCTCATTTCTGATGGCAGAGTATTAATTTATTTTTGTGCCGCCGAAAGAAAAATGTAAACATTTATTGAGGAAAACTGCGGAAAGCAGTGCGCCGCGCGGAATGCTGAATCCGCGCACATTAGCGGGAGGCCTAACACTCGTCAAGTCTCGCAGAAAGCGTGAAGTAACAGAGCGAGGATCTAACACGAGTATTTGTATGAGTACGCCGCTAACACAGAAGCCGGGACAGCGACTGGCTGCGGGCTGCGGGCTGAACGACCGAGGGGGCCGAATTAGAGTCCCGGGAGGGGCAAGAATTTTCTCTTCTCCACGTCATCCAAACCGGCTCTGGAACCCACCCAGCCTCCTATCCAATGGGTACCATGGGCTCTCTTCCTGGGGGTAAAGTGACCGAGACGTGAAGCTGACCATTCACCTCCAACTAATACTGATATCAAGAAAGCGTGGGTTTATCCATGCACACCCTCATACGTCTTCATGGCGTAGTGCTTAATTAGTTAAGCATAAGGACGAGGCCGCGCCATAGCTCAAGCGGTTAGTCGCTGGCTTCCCACCGCGGCGGCCCGGGTTCGAACCCGGGTCTGGTCAAGTGGGATTTGTGGTGGACAAAATGGCGCTGGGGCGGGTTTTCTCCAAGTACTTCGGTTTCCCCTGCCAATCTTCATTCCACCAATTGCTCCACAATCACCCTCACCTATCATCTGAGGCTGGTACAGTAGGCCAGAAGTGGCCGCAGTACAAGGGACTTAGTCCCACCCCAGTAGCAATAAAGAAGAAAGCATAAGGACAACTTTGTATTCCGGTAGCCTTCTTTGAAATTGAATCTGTTCTCATGACTTAACTCACAGATCTCGTATATGTATAACAAGAAGTTCTGAGAAGAACTGATCGCCTACTTTCCTCTGATATGACACGGATCACATAGATAGCGACGCGTTCAACAATTCTATTGCTGCTTGTGTTCACTGCAGCGGGAACGTGTTTACCGAGCCGTTGCCTAGCAACAATATAGATACACATATAGACGCACAGACTGGGGGGCGGGATTTGTGAAGTAGCCGTCAAGATGCGCCCAGGTGCCATGACATGCATACCGTGTTTCATAAAGATTGATTCAGGCTTTCAAAAGTTGATTTGGGGGGGGGACACACAGAGGGCATGGTGTTCTCATACGCCTACTTTTCTTTTTTCCAAAATAAGGAAAGTTACTTCTTCAGCCTACTTTCCGAAAGCCGGCTGGAAGGCAACTCCTCTCTTCCGTTCTGAGCCAGCAGACAGTGCGCACAAGTGACGTACATTCACTTCGTGCCCCTGCCAGTATGCACGTAGCCACGGCCAGTAAGTGTCTGCTAGTATGGCAGTAGGTTTCTTTTGGTTACAGTTTGAACCCCCTTTCCAGTTTATTCTAATGAGCATCGTTTATTTACTTGAAGTAGTGTTATTCGTTTGCAAAGTTCTGATCGTATCTTGTGACACTGATGTATATGCAGATAAATACATTATGAAGAAAGCAGTCTTCTGGGATGTGGCACCGTGTAGATGTGCTGTTAACAGACGTTTCAGAAGAACGTATCGCCTCCATCTTCAGAGTAGAAGGAAAAATAAGAAAATCCGCAAGCGAAGAGACCGTGAGAACCGGTACAAGCAGACAGATGGAGGCGATACCTTCCTCCGAAACGTCGGTTAACACCACATCTACACGGTGCCACATCCCAGAAGACTGTTTTCGTCATAGTCACCGCCGTGAAAACCTGAAAACTTATAAATACATTAGTTTGTGAAGTGCACTCCACAGAATTAAGTTAACTACGAACCTTCAAACAAGAGAGCTCTTCTTGGAAGGCTTAGCTGTAATTTCATGACATTTATCAGTCTTCTGACTTATAAAATATGAGCGGGGAGAACTCCTCTGTAAGTAGGCAGAAGTAACACGAGCGGGAAACGCGTTAGTACAGAATCCATTCGCTCGCACACGGGCTGGGCACTGAAGGGAACAGGCAAGCAAAACAGTGTGAAGCATCCTCAGACTTGTTGTTTGCAGCTGTGAAAATAAACAAAACATTACTGAGAAAGTCAGTTTTGTTGTGCGAAGAAATGTAACCGCAGTCACAGAATTGCTGCACTACAACGGGCCTTCTTTTGAGCAAAAATATTATGAAATGAATTTCTAATTTGCAGCAGCACGAAAGCGTTTCAGACAGCGACCGCAGATTAAACTTTGAACTCCAGAAACTAGAAATATGCGTACATAGCATAAACAATGTGCGTTGTAAATAACTTGTTCTCGAACACTGTTTTCCTTACGGCAACGAGATTCAAACACGAGACTCGCAACACAATGTTCGCTTTATCCTTAAGCTGAGCTAACACTCGGAACAAGGATATTCAGTATATGCATACTGCTTGAAATCATATTGCCTAGAAGAATAAACTCCGTGGCCTGCAGTCCGCAAGCGAACTATGCCGACCGAGCGACCACCGCTTGTCGGCGAAGTTAGTGCCAACTTTTGCGGATAGAGGGTATCACGTGGTCAGCGAAACAGATCTCCACGGCCGTTAATCTCGGTTTTCTAGACCGGAACCGGCATTTCCTTGAAATTGCTCCTCAATTATCCTCACGAGGCTGAGTGCCCCCGCTTAGAAGAACATTGGAATCAAAGTGGAACAGAATAACAAGAGAAAGAGGAGAATTAGAGAATCACAAGGTTCGTAGTTCGGCCATTTTGGTGCAGCAACACACGACGAGAAGACCACAAAACGTAATCGGCTTTCCTATGTTCATCACTGATAATGTAATTGCTGCATACACAGAGGTGTCTCGAGTGATGATATCACTTTCAGTATGAACCCAGCCCCGCCTCTGTCTCAACTCTCTTTCACTTGCAATTAATTTGTCCTTCTAATCACTTAATTTGAAGAGAGTTCTCAGCAATCGCTTGTAGTAAACACGGTCGTAGATTGTGCTCGTTTGTGACAACGCCCAGAGGCAACAATGGATACATTTCATGGCTTATCAAGACATCCCCGCTCTGGCAACGTCGACGTCAGACTACAACGTCCGTTATGTAAGTGCATGCAATGTTCTTAACTAAGTAACTAATTAACTAACTACATCCAGGAACAAAGTCCTCAAGAAGGCGGTATAATGGGCCTATAAGCTTCAGTCTCTAAACATGTAACAACTAAGGAATCAGTGAACAAATGTTCATGAAACTTGATAGTTGGAAGTTTTACTAGCATTTATAGATAGAATACAAATTTTAGTAAAGTCAGACAATGATAACGAACACGTTACATGAGGACCTTCGGAAATTACGACCATAACTCATAAAATATTTATCAGAACAAAAAATGTTTCGAAGAAAAGCCATAGACAAAAAGGGAACTGTGTTGCAGATCCAACAGATTTTTCTAAAATCTTATGTTTCCGTGATAATTAAAAAGAAAAACAAGAATTAACGAACGCACCATACTTGTACCACATGTATGTATTTCCTAACTTATTGTCCACTTCCGTACACGTGAGCCACGCGATATTTAGCTGTCACGTTTGTTAATATACGAAGCTCTGTGACGACGCTGTATCAGCTGCACAGTCTGTGGCCCTCTCGCACAGTGCCTGGTATGGCCCCTGACGAAGCAGCTGCTGTTCATAAAGTGTACACACTCGTGACTTTATTGGTGCATTACACGCCGAGACTGAGGACATGTTTATGTACTGCCGTCCTAAAAACGACCAAGTTGTTTGGAATTTCGAAACAACTACATCAATTTACTAGTGCAAATTCATTCAAATTTCTGCAAATCAGATTTTAGCTTCAGCAGACCCGTAAGGCTCGCCTAACAGGCTCATGACATTGGCGCAGAGACCCATCTCTTATTCTTGATTTGTTTGTTTCCGGAAATACCAAATAAATGAATGTCTGTCTGCTTTATAATTTGCTTCTAGAAGTCGGATGGAACGCAGTCCCTTGGCACCGTGACCTCACACGAGCCTTTCTTCCAGACACTGGCGACAGCCGAGTAAGGAGCATTGGAGGAATCAAAATTGGCAGGGGAAAATATAATCCTTCCCAGTGTCAGTTTGTCCACCGCGAATCCTACATAGATTTCCCTGGAACACAACCCGGGTCTCCTTAGAGAGAAGCCGCCGTCAAATGACCTGATTTACGGGAGACAAACTACACATCCACCCAACCGATCTACCGACCGCTACCTACTACCCCACCGAGCAGTGAAGTAACTGTGTACCTTTAAGAAGCTTGTCAGGGTACAGTCAAATTAGAACATAATGGGATATTTAGGTTAACCGGTAATCTGACAACTTTCAGTATACAGATGTCATCCTCAGGGTAAAATAACACAGGTAAACGTATCCCTGTTAACAGGCCGTGGAGGCCCATAAGGTTGAGAGACGTTGGGGCTCCCACATTTACTAGACAATCGGCTCACAGATGGGGGCAAGGTTGTAAGTCCTACGCTCCGGCCGCCCTTTAACTCCAAGAATATTCCTGGTACTCATTTCTGTTAGAGGCTGAGTCGACCCCAGGGCCACAGTGCGGCTGGAAGTATTAGATCAATTGAAGAACCCACCTCATCGAGACTCTAACCCGCTACCTTCCGGCTTGTAGCATAGTGCTTCAACCAACTCCGTTTAATAAATAAATACACTGGTAAAATTTTATTTTCAAATATTGTACATAAACTGTATAAACAACTCTTCATAAAATTAGTCAATAAGTGAAGTGGCTTTATTTTATAACATTACTTGATTAATAAAAAAAAATTTGTGCGATTCGAAGGCGCCATTGTTCCAGAACACATGTAGAGAATTAATTAGGTGAGGCCTGTTAATTGCATTCATATGCTTACCCTACTCCCAACTTACTGATTCCCTACAAGAGTTTCGAAACAGCGGTATGTCCGAATAGCGTAAAATGATTTTCAGTACTTAATTAATATCATAAAATGATGCTATGTCATTTGCTGAATAACTTCTTTAAAGGTTCTTAAATTTTGTGTACAATCTTGTAAAACAATTTCGAGCAAGTTTTACCAATGTATTTACTGAAACATCCTTTCACCCATGAGGATAACTTCTGTCTGGACACAAGTTAACTGAAAATATTTTTTTATTATTATTATTATTATTTATTAACAATCAGAATTACGTACATTCTATAGGTTAATGGTTTCGCTAAGGACTATTACATGTCATGCGAGGAAAATGTCCATCGACATTACCTCTTCAGAAGTTGATTTGTTTTATATCATGTAATTTGGCCATTTCCTTTTTAGTCTTCTATTGTTGATTGGCTCCCTGAGTGGTTGCAATAGTTCGTTCTCGTGGGTTTCAATTTTGCTCATGTGTTGGCGGCTTCTGTCCAGGATGATTTCTTTCACGAATTTTAAGTTCAAGTCTTGATGTAGGGTTTCGTTTGACACATACCAAGGTGCGTCGACTAACATCCTTAGGATTTTCGATTGTGATCTTTGGATA